TTTATAGTTTCTTATATTCGTTTACCGCGTTATTAGAGTCACGGGAGTGCAAGGAAAAGTGCATCAAGGAATTCTCCGATGGGTCTGGTGGACGAGGGATGCAGCTGGACCATTTACTACGAAGTTGGAGTGTTTTGGAGCCATCGTAGAACTTCTAATGCTAGTTGTTCATATTGCGTACATGCGTCATTTTATTTTAAAATGCCACATATATGTAATATAACAGTTAGCAGGTCGTGAGTTAAAATTTAAAGTCCCTCCGGTGCTCAATCATGCCGAGGATGAAAGGTCTTAATCGGCACGAGCTACTGGTTGTAATTATTCCAAAAAATTATTGACGAGCACATGTGTAGTTCCAAAAAAGGATTATTCCTTTTTTGTAATTGCTCATGAAAACTGTATATTTTATTGTATGTTATATTATTAGTACAGGATAGGTCTTCTTGTCTGATCGGTTAAATTCATTTAATTAACAGTGCAATTAATAAATGCACTTTTCTTTTTTATTACGTGTTTCGTTCGAGTTTAGTAGTGGTGAAATCGAGTATTAATTTACTCGATTTCGTCCAATAAAGCATGTAATAAGTGTCTTACATGCATTGCTTCGTACTTAGTTTATTTAATCGTGATTTTACATTTCGATATAATAAAGAAATGAGCAAGAAGACAAAAACCCATTCGCGACGGATAGATTTTGGCAATTAAGTGGTGGCCCAAAGCCCAGTTCTTTCATTAGAACAGCCACTTAACGAAAGAATCGTCCGAGATTTTTGTTAATTTTTTTAAATTCTTAAAATCTTTTTGACAGTTATTATAAATAACTTGTAGAGTCATAGCTGTCTTAGATTTATTTGAGAACATTATATTATATATTAATGAATATTTAGATTAGGATTTTCAGCATCTAATTTACTAATCCCCGTTTCTCCTCCCTATACTTTCTGCGTTCTCATTTATGCGTGTGCCCAGGTGTTACACGTATGGGTGAGAAACGGTTAGTATAGGTTTAGTTTTAAGTTTTTTCCCCCCATGTGGCGTCTGTCATTGTGCTAGTGATTGCACGGTGTACATTGCATATGTGTGTGCGCTAGGTGTGTGCATTGTACATCGTTTCGGATACGTAATACCGTGCTTATTATTTTTTAAAGTTATT